AATATCACATAAAACTAATATTGATCGGCTGTACAATAACATTGTCTTTCGGTTTTCACGTGCGTAACAAAATAATATTATGAACATCGTTCAACTCACTTGGGTCCACAAGCAGCGTCCGGAATTATTTTTCTACGGCATACTTTTATCTCCAGCGGGCCCTGGCGTACCTTTTTAAAACAGTTTATGGCCATCGCGTGCGTCATTCCGTTGACAGATTCGCCGTTGACACACAGTATCTCGTCACCTGCATAAAAAATAAAACACGAATAAACGAGACGTGTTTAATAATATATTATTCACACAAGYGGAGTGTGTCACGAGCACAGCTCACTGACTGTACTCTAATAGAGGATGTATCGTGGAACTCTTARGCATATTAGTTCAACGTATTACCGTCAGACATTCGTGGTACGCCCTATACAACAACCGTGACAGTGACTCGGGATTGTGTGGGGGTTGACAAGTGCTTTCACGATTTCGAATTCCTCGTGTTCACTCTCGTATAATCTTTCTTCCCCCTCTGCCGAACACGACCTATCGTACCTTTTTATATTGTTATTCTTCGAAACAGTTTTCTTTCATATTGCGCTCAATACTTATATTATACTTTATGGCTTATATAATACACATTCGTATTAATATATTATGTCGAGTCTCGAACGAGTCGGTTCGCCGTCCGGCGGTAGATTTACCACGTCTTGTTGAACTCGACACAACATATTATTATTATACGAACTTTGACCGTCGTTGGCAGTGAAATTTATTTATAAACTATTGTCTATTTCTAATTTCTATTACATTTATATAACCTATTATTTGAAGATGTATCTGGAAAAATTTGTAAAAAAATGAAATTTGTATTGTTATTTATAATGTAGAGAAATGTTAAACGTTTTCATTTTCGATCATAATATACGACTATATTATATAGTACGATCGTGTATCGATTATTATTATAGATTTTATAATCATTTAAAAAACAATTTTATTCTATGTATAAACGTTTTCAATGAGATCTGTGTCGAGCTTATAATTTCGTACTTATTTATTATACGGGCGTGACGCTTTGTGATAGCATTACATGATTATTGGTAATTTGTTTTTTAATTAAAATTTGAACTGTTTTTTATGATGATAAAATAAATGTTTCATGAAATTCTACCGGTCTTCTCTTAAATTATGATATTACGTCATATTTTTACCACACGATTCTAAAACGGACATACCTTCCATCAATGACCCGTTTTCGGCAGCCTGGCCACTTGTGAATATGGTCTTAACAAATATTCCCATCTCGCCTTTCGGCGAATCGGACCCGCCCACGATGCTGAATCCCAACGATTTATGACCGGTACCCTTGTAGAAGGTCACAACCATGTACATGGTACTCATGCTCGGAGTCGGCGACTTTGACGAGTGACCGTTCATTTTGTTGGCTAGCACTCGATTGATGACGGAGATGGCGTTTTGCTTGGACGATTCGGCGGCACCGTCACTGTGGTCATAAGCCGCCGCGGTGGTCGAGTCCGGTGTTTCGGACCGGGACAGTACGATGTCCACGTAATACTTGTTGGCTATGGAAAAACTGTGATTCAGTATTTTCTCTACCTCGTACATGTCGGTGATGCCACGCAACAGTTTGCCGTTGACGTTGATTATCTCGTCGCCGACTCTAATCCTGCCGTCTCTAGATAACGAAACATACAAATAATAATAATAAAAAATAGTTAAAAAACGTTATCGACGTCGTCCATGGTCAACATTCTCGCGTCGACGCGTTCTCATCACGGGCGGATAGGCCTACCGGGCTACCGGGCATTTCCCGGTGGGCCCCCCTTCGTATTTCGGTAGTGAGGCCCTTTAATATCATATATTATTAATTTTTTTTTCATGCGGGGGCCCCTTTTTAAAATTTTCCGGTAGGCCAAAAATGGCCTATCCGCCCATGGTTCTCATCATACCTGTACGCTATTTTTCCCGGTTCTAACTTCATCACGACGAATCGGGTCTCGCTGTAATTAGCTACGTGTTTGACGACCATTTTCAAGTAAACGCCAATGTCATCCTCGTACCGCGACTTGAGCAACCTGACCATTTGCATACAGGACCGCAGGTTGTTSAGATCGGCCGGCAACGATGACAGGTGATTGTCGGCGGCGGCGGCGGTGTTRCTGGGYGGCGACGAACGGTTCTTGATGAACATCCGACGGTGGAAATTGGGCGTGTCCTTCGACGACTGTCTGTCCGACCTTATGCGATCGTTGATCTCGCGGTTTTTCTTGTAGAACAGACACATGGACGGCACGTTATAGTCCTTGTCGCTGTGGCGCCTGGACGGCGGCTCCGACTGTTCCTCGAATTCGTTAAGGCTGTCCGTGGCCAGTGACTTGGTGTCCCCGAACCCGCTGTCCTCGTCCGCTGCCTTCTGGTGTTGGTGGTGGTGATGGTGATGGTGGTGGTACGTGTCGGGCGTCCTGCCGGGACCGTCGCTATCGTATCCCGACTCGTTGGACGAACTCATGTTGCTAAACACGCGCCGGTATTCCCTTTCACTGTCCATCTCCCTGAACAGCTCTTCGGTGACCACTATTTCGTGCGTTGATCCTGCTATGCTGTTCCGCAGTCGACTGCTCGCTCGGATCGCTGGGTGGCCGACGACGACGCCGCCGCCGCCCCCTGAACCACCACCGCCGCCGCCACCGTTCTCCTCGGGCAGCACTGATAGCTTAGACCTGAGGAACGCGTACGGGAAATTTGGCTTCTTGGTGGTACCCAACTTKGATATATTGTCGCAACTTCTGGTCTTCAACGGCACGTAACCCGGCTCGGTGGGTGACTCGATCTCGGCGCCACGGTCGGCGGCCGCGAGCGTCCGGGGCTCTCCGCGGTCTAGGCAGTCGGCCGGGTCATCACCCTTCATGTACGACGTGGCCAGGTGGGACGTGGACACGCTCCGGTATAACTGACACTCGGCTTGCTTCCTGGATTGCTGCAGCTTGTCCCGGAAGCTGTTGCTGTACAGCCGTGAGTAGCTCAGCATTCCGGTGGACCCGATACGCGTAAAAAACCCTTTCAGCGTGGACGAAGATGATTTCTCGGTGGACGACGGCTGCCCTAACGGCCACACCGCTGGCTGATGTTTGGTCACGCTGTCCCTGGACGACAGGCTGTCTAGAGAATCACGGGACTCACTCTTCCGCAGCCCTTCCAGCCGCTTGCCCATTTTCCTGCCCCAAGTAATCAACTCTGTAAAACGATAAAAAAAAAATCAAAATATTATTACTGAGTACATGTAAATTATTATACAGGTAGAACAGGTAGGTATAATATTATTATCACATCATCAATGTATCGTTTATCAGTTGCTCGTGATTTCCGGTTGACCAAAAACGACATTCTTGTTATATTGTATTACCTCATAAGCATATTAGGTATATTTTATATTGTTAGAGATATGGTAACATTTCAGTTGGGTGGGGCTGACTGCCAAATTATTTTGTTCCTATATATATATATATTACATACCAAATCCACTCGTCAAGGACTGATTTGCCACGAAACCGCATACACTCTTTAATAATGCTTTATATTATATTAAATTATATTATATTAAATTATATTATATTAAACATATTATGCCATAATGATATACTATACATTGATATTAAATTAGATTAATAGGTATCTTTAGCGAAGTATTAATATTAAATATGATTAAACTTATATATTTTTATACACATTAGTWTATTCTACATAATATTGTATAGGTACCATATAAGCATACGAGGTTCTGTCCATGCTGCATACTTATGTACATTGTACATATAGTTTAACAGTTTATTATACCCGTTTAGACGTAATAAGACAAAGCTGTCTATACGCCAATTGGAGTCCATATTACAGATAATTAAAATACGAAATTCATTTTTGAATATTTTGAGGTTTTCGCATATTTGAATTGGATAAATGTTTCAAATCAAATTTAACCAAGTATTATTATTTATTTCTATTAGATGTGTTTACTATAAATGTTGCAACATAACTCCGATTGCCTATATGAAGTCTTAAGGATCCTAACCAATTGTCATAACAGTGGATTTAGCTATAACGACATTTTGGGGGATTATGTCCTCAGCTGAAGCCCCTCACGACCACACCATGATTTTCGTCTATGATGGGTGTATTGTGCATYATATAAGATGAGCGGTGGTTAATATTATAAAACCATAGTAGGTATATATAGATTCTCTACTATAGAGACAAATTTACAATATATAGGTATACGAATTATTCTTCTACTATAGGTATTTAGTATTTACCAACCTTCATATATACCTAACTACAATGCTACTATACGAGCTGTCAATTAACGAACGCGTACTAATCGCCTCTCAAGATTGCTTATACATGCATTGCGCGGTGTATAGGTATACGGTATATGTATGCGCACAGTGGCGTATCTATGTGGTACGGCGATATCGTGACCGGCAACAATCGCACTTAAGAAACCTTTTTTTTTTTTACTCAGATTCCTTTTTCATAACGCTGCTGCTAAAGTCGTCTTCTGATTTCCCTCGCGTCTGCCGCTCCCACTGAGATCAACCACTCGAGTACCACTCAAGGTTGTCCAGTTTACGGTACGTCCAAAATTTCATTACCGCCGTGTCCCAAGGTCGTTGGAACGAGACGACATTGTGCAGTGTGTTTCTTTCAGATCGCGAGTGTATATTATATAGGTACATTACATGCGACGTGCAGCTACCGCTGCTGATATATATATATAATGAAAGGGTTAACGTTTTGCCCTCGGGTCGAGATTTATATTTAAATTGGCGTGATTTGTTTATAGACATCCTCTACAGGTATATTAAGGATGTTTTGAACTTTGAATTAATTATTTTATTGTTTCGAATTGTGATRCAGTTTTTAATCCCAATGCTGTGTTAAATTTTTCTATCAGCTGTTTATAACTTTAGCTCAGTTTCATTATATTCGAAATGCGTTTATGGGTATATAAGTTTGTTTTATAGAGTACTTTTTTTCCCGTACTACATTGTCTATTACAACTGCAGTCGTAAAACTAGTTTCGATGGTCGTATATTTTGTGAACATAATGAAATATATTGCAGACCAAATTTTTTATTACGACAAAAAATATGGGGGTTTTTTTACAGTGCAGCACGATTTTGATTATTCAAAAGTGTTTAGATTGTAAGTATTATTTATAACTTATTATAATGGCACGCGGATATGTATACTTACGTATAGGTACATATATATGATGCTTATTATACCAGACGCCAGTGTTTTAATTKAATAGTATCAATATTAAATGTATAGTGTAGAGAATCGGCCGGAAATTAAAAACTTATCTGAACGCACCAGCTATATGTCCTACATAATATTTACGTATATCGTAATAACTAATATGTATTCGTCTTACTTGTATTTTATTTCGTTCAATTAATAATCACGCAGATGTTTATGGTGCAGTCAATGGACGCATTTTTGCTACGCTATTTAAATATATTATAAATCGTAAATCGTACTATTGAAACCGATAAGTTATAAGGTTATAACTTATCGATGCTATTTTAATCATTATATAATTAGGGAACGGATTTATTTTATTATGCATTTTGCATATTTTTTGGTTAGTTCAAAAATTTGCTAAATGAGACAGAAATCCGTTTCACTTACTGGTGATTAAAAATGCACTACTTTAATTTTGCATATTTGGGCATTTTTATTAATAAATACATATTTAAATATTTTGATATTTTATAAGTCATATTTTTTTAGGCCATATTATTGTAAATATAACAATTACATTTTTTTTTTTTACTTCTTTAGGAATTAAGAAATTGAACATTTTTTTATTGTCATATATTTCTGTACCTACTCGTGTACTAAATAAATGATAATAAATATAAATATATACATTTTAAAGCATATTTGTGTCATATTTCATRTTTTTTTAGAAATTAAGTGCATATATCAACATTTTTGAGTGCATTATTTCGAGCATATTTGTGGCATTTTCAATGCATACTTGCGTATTTTTAAGGACATATAAATCCATTCCCTAATTATAATATTATAATAATATGTTTGCACGGAGCTTATAATGGCATAAATTTAAAATGTATATCATTTAATTATATGACGATGACGTACATTGTTTATGTAAAACGTTAAACGATATGATTAAAATCAAATGGAATACATTAATCATTAATATTTACATAAAATAGATTAAATTAAATATTAAATTTACAAATCATTTTTTATTACCATCAGAAAAATATTCCATTTTCTTTTGTCTAGTATCAAATCTATTAGAGAAATATTTATTTGACACAAACATGACACAACACGACATTTATTATAATTTAATATAGGGGATTAATGGCCATGAAAGTCATAAACTCATAATAGGTACTAACAATCGTCGATTGAATAGGTCAATATTCGGAGAATTATTAAAAAAAAATTAATCAACATACGTAGGTAGTATATAGTATCTATAAAATATTATAAAAAAATAGCGACTAAATTTAAGGATTGTCGATTTTTAACATGACCTCGGGTTCAGGGCTGTAATAACTAATAATAACAAGAATATATTATACGTATTAAATTATGTGGAACCGAATCTCTAAATGTTTTAAAGTATGTGTGCAACTCGTTTTCAAAATGTCATTCAGAAAAATATGTAAATATAAGTTTTAAAATCGTTTAGAACTGTTTTCTCAGTCTCACTTATGTATATCGATCAAATACATCAATGTGGCTCGTCGTCAGGTTGGACTAATTACTAATTACGATTACGAACTACACTACGATACTCAAATTTACAAACACTGAAACACGAATATCTTATAAAGTTATAACCATATAATATAATATTTAATATTATATTGTACATTATATTATATACGTGCTTACAGACATTTTAATATGTAATAGACCTTAATCAGGATCGCGCTGGTTCAGAATGTTCAAACAAAATCAGGTTCTTCAGTTTTCCAGTTGGTTGGGTAGAATAATGTGTTTTAATATTTTTATAGTAGCTCGAACATTATAACATAATAATTTGCATGTTTTTATTAAATAAAACATACTCGTATATGTGATTAGAAAAAACTACGTGTCTATTTTCGTATATAATTATCAAGTAATTCGATGTAAGTATAATAATATTGACAATTTCTTACTGTTTTCGTATTAAGATGTTACTGCACTTTTGAATAAGTAATTAGAAAGAGGTGAAGGTAAAACATGTTTATATTAATTTGAAAGGCGGTTGAATATGTGTTATATAGAGGCGCACGCGTTTCAGGCGGAGCTATATATACCACATATGGTTATCAAACGTGTAATGATCGAACACTGAGATTGTGAAACGACATAATCAAGTAAATATAATAAATTAATTACGGGGCTCTGTGGCTCACTTTTAAATTTGACACTTGAGTTGTGTAATTTTTATTGAAACTCGTTCGCTCTTCAGGCTTGTTTATTTCATTAATCGTTCCAAAATCAGGTAACCAACTTGTGAACAAAAATTATTTATTACTCACAGAAATTATCGTGGAGTGATGTATTATATGTATTAGCCATTAGGTATCTACGCGGATACCAGCAGGGCGTACACGAAACCAAAAATGTACATCAGACTTTTCAGACGTAAAACGTGATGACATCACAGCCGGCCAAATGTAAATCAYCAGACAGACATGAGACAGACTCATTTAAATATTGAAGTTTTCGCCGTTAGGTATGTCAAAAATGCGATCGAAAGCGGCTATAAAGATGTTTATACAATAAGGCTCTTTGAAATGTTGTTAATTATTACGATAAATATTATGCAAAACGTCAAGTAAAAAAAAAAAGATACAATACAACAAATATATTATATTAACTGCAAGCGTTTTTAACGAGTTTATCTCTTATTATATATAATATATACATAATAAAATAGTCTATAACTTTTTTGTTCTCTGCAGCTGATGCGTCTGAAGWCTGCCAGACTACTCGTATACAGCTCGTGTGTATATTCCCTCCAAAACCTATATATTACACTTACACGCATGTGGCATGTATGTATATATACGATTACGTGTGCAGTGTGCACATGCATTTTGATCTACGGCAATTAAACGGCATTGCAGTAGTAATTAGAACGTGTGTAGGTATATAATGTAAAACGTGAGTTACGTGGCGTGCTGCGTGGTGTTCCTCTATACCTTGTTATACATAGGTATATATATTTATATTTATAACACGATATATACTATACAACACATATACTCGGTACCTATACTACCGTCGTAGCCATCGCATTATATATGTATATGATATATTATTTCTTTCTTTCTTTCGTTTTATTATTGCCATTTTTTTTTTGCGTCCAGCCTCACCACTGCAAACCATGTATACTAGTAACCGAAGCCATAAAAAATGTTTAATGGTCAAGAATCGTGTTTTAGAGATCTACAGTCTAATGGCATTTAAACTCACATATATATATATATATGTGTGTGTGTGTGTGTGTGTGTGTACAATATTATTATAGTCGGATATAGTGAGGCTGCTTCCAGTGAGATACGACGAAAACCACGTCAAATAACGAAAAAAAAACCGATCACCGCAGCGCTTGTTACTTATTTGTTTATTTACATTTCTTTTCACGCCGCTACCCACTACACTACACCACACCAYGCCATACCACTCCATAATATAATATTATACACACGCTGCACTATGCGAGGTAGACGTATAATAGAAGTGTAAAATAATGTAATACACTGGTATATTTCACTTAAAAACTACACGCAAAACCGGAATGCTCGGAAGACATTGTAACCGATGGTATTTGAATGATATGTAGTGTTCATAATATAATATAAACACGTAAATACACACACACACACACACACACACACACATACTTAAACGTCTTAAAAATATAAATATATAATATATATTTACGAATATTTTAACGATTAGGTTAAATTGTAAATTTAAATGCCTATAAATATGTTAAATTTTCGACCATTTGTTAAATCACGATATCCCATATACCTCTATGATATTTTAATACGTATAATGTACATGTAGGTATATCTATATACTCAAATGCACTCTTAAAATATTTGTTGGGATAGAGTAAACCAGCTACATATGTAACATGTATATGCGTAAAAAGGTTTATAGAGAATCTTAACCTATAAAGGTTTATGCCAAATTCGTAAAGTGTACGTGTAGTATGTGTCAACCGTATGGGGAGCTTGCCAAGCCCATATAATATTGAGACCGGTGAATGTATTCTAAACGTGTTTGACGTCCTCTGTTTAGCGTTCAAATCACGGTCATTGTTACAAATAATATTATACACAACAAATTATTATATACAGGTATACAATATACAGAGAAGATATAGCAGATTGCGTATACATCACATTTTATTTTAAGTTTTTCTCTTTTTACACCGCTGATTTACGGTCTTGTTTCAACACAAATATTGCTATTGTATAATATTATATCTTTATGAAAATCAATATTCTTTTTAAATTTAATTCATCTACCGTTGTGTCGATTTTACGGTACGCATTATTAATGTTGCAGAATTCAAAATTCAAAAACCTAAAAAATCAATATCATAAATAACTTCGACGTACGGCATGTGGTTAATTTACAGTATATTGTATATTATTATACCTACACGACCGACCGCCTATAATATTTTTGCACATAAAAACGAGAAATGACGGTAATAATGCAGTGACGAAAAGTAATTGCTGTGTCGAAACGTTGAACATGGATAAAAAAAAATTAATAATAAATAAACACAACACACCTGTGTTCRGTAATTTGCAGTTTATAAACATCTAATTTATAGTTAAAATCGCGTATATAGATAATTATATATACTTTTAATGGGTATAGCCTAAAAGACCTTCGACATAGCTAGAGATAGAGATCGTTCAAGATTTAATATTACTGTGAATGTAAATTCACAATAACATTATAATGTATAATATTCCTATATATACTTAATAAGAGCCAAAACAAATATGTGKAAGTCCATTTTTAAGGTATACGWCTGTCTATACTTGAATAGTTAAATATATTATAATCTAGTTATGATACAATAATTTTTATACATACTTCTTTTGACTTCGGCAGATTTGGGGCTCTCTTCGAGAACAATCGCCGGTACGGCGGTAACCGTTTGATAAAAACGACCGTCCATGTCCGGTGTTACCAAAGGTTTGCCATTTTTTTCCGCAACGTTTGTTTGTCTAAACATTCGCATGGTCCTATAAAATAAAAAACAATAAATCAATGTAACAAATCAATCGAAAAACAAATCGATAATAACTCATATTTTATAATAATGGTAAGAATAGAAGAAGAATATTATATTATATTGTGTAATCATATATAAAGAAAAAAAACTCATATAACCGATAGGCGCGACGGTAAGTACCACATAGGTACTACATACCATATCCCTGGTATAAATGTCTTATGAAATCGTGCTCATGGATATTATCGATGACGGTATATTATAATTAGGCATTATAAATTGTTATGTAGCGTTATTATTATAGCRGCGGCTGTGTCCGAAATTCTCGCGATRTTTGACTCCGAGAAGAAACCTGCAGCAGCCGCGAGGTGGACTTTCGTAATCTCCTTGACCGGAATATACATACGCAYAATATTGTCTATAAATCGCATCGATTCGACGTTCGCCTCTGCCACCGCGCATATGTATATACATATAACCATTACGAGTGTTTTATTTGAATTAAAGTATCTACCTAACTACGAGACTGGAAACCGATCGCCAGACGAAACGTCGGAACTGCCTGTACCTATACTGCAAACATGCATCATACAATAAAATATTTTATGATATTTCTACATAGGATTAGCGATGTACAATGCAAATCGGAAGACCAAAGATCTGATATTTCGATTATATGGGTAACTAGGTACCCATATGTACCCACATAATTATTCGATTCGGTGCAGTGCGGTGGATTCGACAATCGCGTATAGTGTATACCAATATTCGTATTCATAATAGTGACCGCTATCGTTTTGTCGCGGTCTTCACACTGTAATAAATAATAATAATATATGATATTATGTGAGATAATTCGATTATATCGAAACAGAGAAAATATCTCGCGGGTAACGCGTGATGCGGTCTGCGGAGTATAATATTATCGTAATATTATATGGTTTCTCGTTTTTTACTCACAAATTTGGAAATCTTGAATTTCGTTTGTAAATAAATTRCCTCGCTTGCGCGGATTGTATTTGTGCGAACTGATATTTGTTTCACAGTTATATTATGTCGATCTAGAAACCACCCCTACCACTCGTTACAAAAAAAAAAAATAATAAAAATAACTCTTAAATGTAGAATTTTAAGAAGGAAGTGACTCAATTGATTATCCTTAAGACTGAAGAGATCCCTTTTAGACGAAMTCCGTTTGCTAATGTCAAATACAGAGAGACAATGTGCTGCAGCAGTAGTATTTCGAAGTATACACACACACAAACACACATATATCATATATACATACATCATAAATGCATATTTTAGTATATATATATAATATATTATATGGTAGCCGGACCGGAGGCAGGTGATCAACATCTGGCTCGTGACTGGCCCGGAGAGAAGAAAAAATAAAAATAAATAATAATCGTTACATTACCGTTCGTGTTTATAATAACATAATATCCGTACGAGACTTGCGACCCTCTTGGGCCAGAAACGTTCACATGGTACGATATAATATTTTATACCAAATATAGCATATTATGTATATACGAACAGTTTAGTCTATAAGACCCACACATATATAAACATTATATCATAATATAATACATGACGATGTCAAGTGTATACACAGACCTCCCTTCCTCAACAACCGATATTACCGCTCTGATTTGTTTATAATACAAATAATATATATCGAACGAGACTATAGTCCACCGATCCTTCATTGATCGTCACTAAACTGTAGTTTGCACAATATTGTGACGTATAATACAGATAGATAGCTGGAAGCCGGTATGTCGTAGTTGGTTTATGGCCCATGTAATATAAACAATAACAATATGATATACGAATACGACTATTATAGTTAGTATTATACTACTATACGAGAGTGATACACTTATCATGGGAACGTTACTATATAGCGAAAYTTCACGTTAAACAGAATAGAGGAAAAATCTTTGGATAAATATTCTTTTCATATAATAATATTATCATCACTGAGTACCTATGTATAATATATACTATATTTAATGATACCCCATAAAATATTTTCACTTTATAAATATTTTTTACATTTTTGCATCCTTTATCTAAAATATTAATATTTTTTTACATCGATAATAATACTACCTAATATATGTATAAAACGTATATTAAAAATAATTAAACATAATATTTCAATAAAATTGAAAAATCAAAACATTCAAAACTATGGTTAACAATTAAATTTCTATTGGACGCCTTTTCCGGGATGAGACTAGAGAACAAGACTGCAGCTTTGATGATGCTTAAGAGTTATTTAAGAAAACTCAGCTTCTCTTCYCCATGATTTCCACTTATGATACCTTGCTATATACCTAAATATATTATTATAATATTAGGTTCCCGGAGCATATCGCTCTAGCCCCATTCYCAGTGTGCTTAACACAGCCGGTGTAGCCCCACTTTACATCAGGAGAGTTCAAAGCTCCATGCTATTAGCAGCCAGACGCTCCCAAAATAATCTCAATATTTCGAAACAGATCACAAACGCCCTAAAAGACATCCSATTCCCACATCTTGACGTTATCAAAAACGAAAATATACAGTCACCACCTTGGTTATTAAAAAACTACGTGAACAGTGAACTTAGTTCATTCTCGAAGAAAGACACCTT